CTCTCTAGCTGTGTCGAGGAGTCGGTCTCGAGTGTCAAACCCATTAACTTTTATGGTTTGTTTAGGAGTTGCTGCTGGCTTGGTCTTTGGCGTCTAGGGCTACGATCAATGGTTCGCCCGACTTGTTTTGAAACATAGCTCGATTGAATAACCGCCCAAAAGGACTTGATACCCTGAGCTCCAACCGTCACGTGAAAAAAAAATATCACGGAGAGAAAGAAAAAATTACCTTTAGATTATTTCATTTCTTCTAAATTTCATGGTTGCGTTGCTTATCGTTCTCTCTTATTTTCGCACTTGTAAGATTTCTTACGCAATACATTTTGATTCTAATAATGCCTAACGCCGACACCCTATAATTCGCATTTCTGCCTACAATAAATAAATAAAAAAAAACTAAACTTTCTATCCTATTTCCGGCGCTGTTTAATTATTGCATGCGAGCGATTATATGTTCTTGTGAGCATTTCTTTAAAATTTTTTTCGTCGGTAGTTGAAACTCCTTAACTACGGCGCGCGCTGTTCATAAAACAACTCAAAAATATAGAATATCCCTAACTTTCTCCTAAGAATTATTATCCCGAATTTGTGATACTTCAAATGTTCTGCACGCGCACATCTTCTTTACATCCTTCACATTAAACTGAAATCATGAGTTCCCAATCTTTCTGTCGCCTGTCTGCGGCTGTCCGTTTATGGCTACGCAATCCCCTATTTATTCACGGATCTCTAAGTACATTTTTGAAAACTTCCTTCTTATCAGATTTATTGAAATTACCCCTCGTTTTTCTAATCTCCGCGTGGCTAGTCTTTGTCTTCTAAATCAAGTACGGTTATTACTTTCGCTGCAAGTGCCCCTTCAAAAAAAAATATTTCCCTTCGCCGGGATAAAATCCGGATTCCGCCCTAGTGCTTCTTAGTCAATGACTCCCTTAATTACTTGAATTCTCTTTGTTACTTTATGGCAAAAAAAAAACATATATAAAATTAAAACGTTACAGATTATTTTCTTGCTTCCGCCGGTCTGTTTCTACGTCCCATCTAATTTCCCGCAACCTCAATAATTCTTTTAACAATAGCCTACAATAACCTTCTATGCACGGAGCGCGTCATTTCCCTTCAACCTTCCTTTCCCCTTTTCTCCCTCGCTCAATGGTGGTTCCCCACGCCCGCAAAAAAAAATGTTCCCTCACATGAAAGAAGGAAGAAGAAAAAAAAAGAACTTGCCTTCGGCGAACAGCGGCTGCCGCCCTCTGTCCCTCAACATTAACTGCCCTGCTCTAAGCCTGCTGAGATGAATTTATAAACAGAAAATAACGGACTTGTTATTTTCGTACGACCTGTCTATGTAAGTTTCTAGACGACAATTACTAATACCGTAATACCGGGCGTAACTTCCCTCCTCAAGCAACAAACGAAAAAAAAACGCAAATGAATATTCCTTTTCCTAGTAATATTAGCTGCAAGTAGGCAACGAAGCAAAAAAAAATATATGACTTGAAAAAGTTAGCTCTAGCGTCTTTACTGCCTTCAACGTATCTTATGCGAGCGCAATGAATCGTATCATTATTATTTTATTATTCTCTGTTCAATTTGCGCGAGCCCCCAAACAAAACAACCCCGGTGCTGAAACAAAAATTCTAATTAAATGAACTACGATTTCCAATTTCGTGATTTTGCGAGCCCTATAGTAATTGCGTCGAAAGCTATTTAGTCCATCTTTTCCTCCGTACTTCCTTCACTTGGGACCTGGCCCGACTGCATACCTCCGTGCGAGCGGTAGGGCGGGTGGTGTTTTCGGAGGTTTGAAGAACCTCCCGCCGAAATTCCTATGTCCTTCCTGTTGCTTTCCATTTTCGTCCGTCGCTTAACCATCTTTCCCGCGCTCAATCTAATGTAGCTAATTTCTCGCAGAGCCTCAAGACTAACGCTAACGCAGATGAGCAAAATAACAATTATATCGCAAGACATGATGCGCGGTAAGGTGCACTTCCGATAATAAAGTTAAAAAAAGTCTCCATGAAATAACTTTCGTGTCCCCTAAACACCCAAATACTTACTTGAATGCATGAACACTACGATAATCGCGCGCCAATTTAAGCTAACATCTTAGTCAAATGTCTGCACAGAATGAAAAATAATGTCTAATCGCGCGCTGGCCTAGTTGAATCTAACCCCACGGGATTATTTTTATGTTTTTATCTTGCCCGTTCTACAGCGCCACTTCTTTAGTTTAAACCTTACGTACTGATCTCGCTGAGAGCAAGAGAGAAAACGTGAGAGAGAGTTTTATAACACCCTAAACATCCTATAAGAAAATCCCACAGCAGAGAATTTAATGCATTGACACAAAAAATCCTATCACAGAAAAAAAAAATCACCTAAAATGCAATTATGGCACAAAAAAAAAAATCAAAAATTAGCTCAACAGTAACAGAAAAAGAGAAAAAAAAAACAAACTTAATTATTACTCCAATTGTCAATTCGTCACTGCCAGTTTTTGAACCCCACACCATAGACCCACTTGATTACGAGGCCTACTTTTGTTTGATTAAAGAATTGCGTCCTACTTCTACTTTATTTCTAACTTCTCTTCTTGGTCTTGATGTAGTAATTTCAACTTTCAACCGAAACTGTAATCATCGATATAAGGGGGGTGGCGTCGACCGGATTTATAGTTATTGCAAGATACTAATTATTTCGACACCTGTATTGAACTATCAATCGTATGGAAATCTCGATAGAGTTTTTAATTAAACATTTTTTAATAAATTTCTGTCAGGTTTCTGGCACGAGTGTCGGCGCGTGACAAGGTTCTCACGCTGGCAGCTAGGACACGAATTGACAAAGGAAAAGATACAAACATTTATCAGTTCAACACTTATATACTTAAGACACCAATTTCACCCTAATACAGATCGACATAGAAATCCTATTCTTACAGCTCATGACGTTGACTTCCCAGTCATGAATGTGTCATGACGTTGACTTCCCAGTCATGAATGTGTCCTAATTTTGAGTCGAGGTCAATTAATCTGATCAATCGTCATACGAAGATTGCCTTCGTGTCTATGTTGTTCATTGAACATCTCCAATTTATACGAACAAATACATACTAAATCTTGGCCTTGAAGACTATTGCATTCGGAATTTTGAACTTACGATCGACGCACAATTGAAGACGAGAAACAAGAACAAATTTTGGTCGATAGCCTAGGTTTTTAGCAATTACGTCAGTAGTGCTTACGTTTACTAACAATTAACTTTACTTAACAAAGTGACGTAATATGGAACTACTTAATGCATTGTTATTGCAGATTGAACATTTATATTCTATTCACTCGCCATGCCACTCATCACTACTCATCACTCTACTCATCACTCTACCCATCACTCTACTCATCACTCTACTAGCGCCCCACCGTCCTCAGACACGCGTGTTCACATCTTCCCCAATGACGACGACCTCCTCCTCTTCCTCCCCTAAAGCCTACCAGTCCGTCTACGCCTCACGCTTCGGGGATTGGAGGTCCCGGGCTGCTGAACGCCTCGCGACTTTTGACGCCACTGGTCCGAAGGATGCTTCAAACTCCCTCACATCCTCTTTGGGACCTGCCCGTACGTCTCCTCAGTCGGACCGTCTGTCTCCTCAGTCGAACCGTCCGTCTCCTCAGTCGGACCGTCCGTCTCCTCAATCGGACCGTCCGTCTCCTCAGTCGGACCGTCTGTCGTCTCAGTCTTTCCGGTCATCACCACAGCTGGGCCGGACGTCTGCTCAACCGCAACGTACGTTCACTGAACCGGAACCTACCTCTCCTCAATCACTACTTGCTTCTGCTGAATCGCAGCCTAAGTCTGCACACTCGCGACGCACGTCTTCTTTTTCCCACCGTACTTCTCCCCAGTCGACCAGCACGACACCCGAGTCCCCGGGTACATCCCCGCGGTCCCCGCCTTGGTCTATGTCCTCTGTGGGGCATCCCTCATATTTGCTCAAAAATTCGATGTCCTCTTGTCCCACTCGACCCGACGATGCAGCGGCACGCGACTCAACGTATTTTTCGTCACCAGTTAAAGGTTCTTCATCAACTGCATTCAAAGGGACTACTTCATCAACAGTGAAATGTTTAGCGACCACAAGTAATGGTAGTTCATCGTCCGCAAACAAAGGATCATCTTCGTCTGTGGTGACACGTCTTTCAGCAACTTCGCCCAAACGTGTTCCATCGTCTCCAGTTGAAACTTTTACATCACCTGCCATTAAATCTTCATCATCCCCAATTGACGCTGTTTCGCCTGTACCAGCGATTTGTTCTGCGCCACCGCCCATCAAATCTGTTCCCTTAGACCAAGAACAGAACCCTGACTTGTCCATCAGTTGGCCGTCACCGGGGCTGCGGAGTTCTTACCACCGCAATCCATCGTCAGACGCGATTTCTGCTCCTATCCGGCGATCAGCTTCATCCGTCGCAACAGGTCGCGTTGCTTTTCAGCCATTGAGTCACGCCGCCGCTGACTTACCCAAAAAATTCAGGTTTATCATCCCAGAGGATCCTGTTAGCGATCTTCCTAGCGCGGGTAGCGTTGGGGCGAGAGTGGCGCTATGGGCGCGTCGTCTGGAGGAGGAGAAGAAGAAGGAGGCGGTGGTCTTGAGTCCGCTGAGAAGGCGAAAGTTGCGTCACCAGACCCAGCCCATCACCCTGCAGGAGGTGCTCTCTGCCGCCCGCCTCGGTAGGACAATGCAACGGCCGCTAAGATCTCTAATTCTGGTCTCTACTTCCAATTAATGGCTCCAGCTTCTACTTACGGTCTCTAACCCAGGTCTCTACTTACGGAACATGGTTACGACCAGTACTTCCGGTCTCTACCTGAAGTCTCTACTTCCGGGTTATAGTTTCTCATTACTTCCGGGTTTCCCCTCAGGTCTTTACTTTCGGACTATGGTTTTGACTACTATTTCCGCGCTCTACCTTGGGTCTTTAGACCCATGACGAGGAACTTATGTCCGTTACGGCAGGGAATTGATTACAGAAAAATGCCACTTGTAAAAGCTCGGAAGCAATCTAAAATAATAAATAATTCTTCTAGATTGCTTTCACGTTATGCAGACGTCGTTTTTTAGCAATCAATTCTTTGCTGTAATGGGCATAAGTTCTTCCACATGGAGGCCATTCTTTAACGATATAAATGCAACGATGATTTTTCTAATGAATGGCTGCAAGATTCGCTGCCCTCAGTTTCTGGAATACCAAACCGTATAGTCTCGGATTTTTATCAAAAATTGTCCCTTCTTAATTAAGAGACGCTTTGCAAGTACTGATAGCTGAACTTGAATTTTGCTTGTATCTTTGGTGCCAGCGTCTACGGACCAGCCAGCGAAAAACCTAGCTTGTCCGTCGGACAAGCTAGGTTTTCATGCACTGTCTGGTCAACGCAAAGTCTCACCAATAACGAAAATAAGCTTAGATTAGCTCATAACTTCTTCGTCTCAATATCTGTCCTGGATTTCGGGTCGCTACTTTCACATCTACATCTGGGCTTCTCTTCTGACACCAACTTCTGGTTCAAAGTCCAGCCGCTGCCCAACTTGTCTCCTACCACAATATGTTTCATTCACTGTTTCTTAAACTCCTGCCTCCCCAGCTTCTTACTTGTATCTCGTCTTCCATTGGCTACTCCCCTCGGCTTCTCCTTCCCTCTAACCTATTCCCCATGGCTTCATTTTACCTCTTAGCTATTCCCCATGGCTTGATTTTCCCTCTTAGCTATTTGCCATCGCTTGATTTTCCCTCTTAGCTATTTCCCCTGGCTTCATTTTCCCTCTTAACTATTCCCCATGGCTTGATTTTCCCTCTTAGCTATTCCCCATGGCTTTCTTTTCCCCTCGGTTCTTCCCCGAGTACCCGAATTACTCTCCTTAAATCCTTGTGCTGAGATCGCTCCTGTTCTACGTGACCTGTGTTATATGCATGTCTTACAAGAGTAGCTGTTTTTTTCGGGAGTTTTTTTTATAATGGACTCATTTATTATTGTATTTCATCATTAAGATACTTTTTCCTCTACCTTATAATTATTTTCTAAAATTTGTATAAGTTAGAAACAATAAATGTAAATGCCAATTGTTGGGTGCAGTCCACATGCTCGTGGTGCGTGTCACGCTTGCCTGCCACTAACGTCCATCTGACTACTCACGTCTGCTTCATGAATGCTTCGATTATTAATTTTTTTTACTAATTATTTATTTATGACTATGACTAATTTTATGACTTTTCTAAATGAATGGTTTGGTTATTTTCCTGCCTGTTGTGTTTTTTTTTTTTTTGTAAGAGAGCTGCATTCTCATTGGGTGACGCGAGAAATTCTAAACCTCTTTAAAAAAATTATTTTACATAACGCTGCGTCAGCATTATAAAATATATTATCTTTAATCGTCATCTTACGATATGCTGATCAAATTAAAACAAAGCTCTGGAATTATGCTATGATTTTTTTTTTTGCCCGCTTGGACAAGAATTTTTACAGCAGCTGTCACGTACAAATCATTGACAATCGTTCAGCTACCTGAGCTTCACGCAACGGCTGTACACACAGAGAGGAAAATTAAAGTGTCAATTTGTTCGAATAGTGCCACCTTCTGCTCGTAGCACCGCCTTTTATCTCGGCCGAATTGGGTTAGGATTTGACATTAAAATTCCGCCGCTATTTGAACAAAACCTCACTCATATCTCTGAGTGTAAGTAAGCAAATATATGCCTTAAATTGGTATAATCAAACAGCAGGGCGAGACCAAAGCGCAGCCGCCTGGGGCCATACTTTCAAAACTGGCTAAGTGAACGTAAGTACTTACGCACTATTTTCTTGTCTATGATTGGTGGATTTTGCTTGAAAGGCCGTCAATGATTGGCTGATGAACTTACGATCTCTTAACTTTTTTTGAAAGTATAGGCCCTGTAATCTCAGAAAAATGCGTGAGACGTTGTCCGAGTAGCGATGAATTTTTCGCCCTGACCTAGTTTGGCCAGGCAAAAAAACGTATCAGCGCCACGTGCAGTAGGTGAGCGACTATTTGGATAATATGACAACTAGTTTTTTGAGTAGTAATTTGTGACCCATAAACCATTTGACCCATTAAGTGTAACGAGCCTAGATTACAGCTAATTATGATATGTCTGTTGTATGTACGACAGTAAGGTCTATGTTTTGTAGTATACATAACATGGTTGAATATTATCATCGACCGACTTGTGGCTTCGAAAACGTTCTGTTATAGACCACCATGAGTATTACTTGGATACTCTTGCCTAAAAGGTTCAGTGTTGCGGCTCTCGGTAATGCACTTTATTATTTATTAGTTGAACACCTACTACTTTCTGGACACTCGTGCTTCTTCTACATTCCTACTTCTTGGATAGGTACTTACACTTCTTGGTCACTCCTACTTCTTGGACGCTGAAAACTGATCCTCTTAGATACATACACTTCCCGGACACTCTTTCTTCTAGGATACTTACACTTTTTGGACACTCCGACTTCGTGAATAACAGTTCTATGATGGCAGATGTGGAGCCGTGGGGCGCTGCGGATGATGTTTCCTCTCACCACACCGCCGGGGAGGAGGGGGAAGACGCTGCTGGAGGAGTGCGAGGTCAGTAGGAGTGTTCGAGCGCTGCTGTTGGCCACAAATTTAACACGTGAAATATCTCTGTAGCAAACGCTCAGCCAGAGATATTGCACAGCAAACATGCAAAGCTACACTTGGCCTCTGAGCTAATGAGGTTAGGTTAGGTCTGGATAAGTTTGTCTGGACGGAAAGTCGGAGCTAACGAGGTTAGGTTAGGTCCGAAAAAGTTTTTTTGGCTGGAAAATCGGGGTAAGCGTGGAGGTAGGCTCGTGCTGAGGTGTAGCCTCCATGTAGACTGTACTGGCTGGAGCAGTGGCTGCGAGCTTTCGGCGTCCATGGCTGTGAGCAATCAACTTTATATTAAATTTATACTCATTTGTGAGGTTCATAGGCTAATATATTTAGCAGCATATTTGCGCGCGAGAAGGAATATGAAAGTGATGATAGTGTCCAGCAATGTTGGCCTCAAACATGCATCCCCGTGTTGGCAGTTGAGAGAATAGGTTGCCGAGTGAGCTGGAAAGTTTGTTCATGGTCCACACTAATTGGCCCTTGTGTGCCGCTGCCGCATCACGTGCCCGTGTCTAACGTGCCTGTGCCTGATGGGCCCGTGCCTAAGGTGCCCGTGCCCGTGCCTGACGTGCCCGTGCCCGCAGGTATCCTGAAGCGCGATGGGTCCCGCGAGTCGTGGGACTGCCCGCGCTCCATCCTAAAGCTGTCCTCACCCTCCCCGCTCACCCAAGACTTCCCCGTCGTCCCCACGCCCAGCTTCCCCCAAATCACGGACACCCCCACACGGGGGATCTTGAAGCAGATGGATGGGGTGTGGGGGCCGTGCTCCCCCAAGCGCACGGTCGTGTCCCCACAAGCGCCCCCCGTCTGGGGGAGGCAGCTCCGTGGGGTCCTGAAAAAAGAGTCCAGCTTGGAGGACGGACGGGAAATTCGGTCCATTCTTAAGCCTCAGTCGGACTTCGTGAGACATTCCTCGGACTCGTCGTCAGGTGAGACATTCCTCTGACTGTGGTGCGCTGTGATGTAATAATGTGATGTAATATGTAATAATTATTATGTAATATGTGATGTAATAATGCGATGTAATGTGATGTAATATGTAATAATTGTAATAATTAATATGTAATATGTGATGTAATAATGTGATGTAATACCTCGCCTGCTGCCCCACAGACGACCAGGGTGGCGCCCTACAGGGCGGGGCGCTGCCCCCCAGCGGGCCGGTGGACCGGCAAGGGAGCCCGGACCCCGCAGACCTGCCCCCCAGGATACTCCTTAACGCCGTAAGTCCTCACACGGCCTCCTCCTCCTGGCCTCACATGGCCTACTTCTGGCCTCTCATGGCATTCATGGCAGCGGCTCTGCCTCATAAATGTTCTTTTGCTTTCATCCATAAATGTTGTTTTATCTCACACATAAATATTGTTTACCTTCACTCATAAATGAATGATTTGGTCTTCACATATTAATGTTGTTTTGGCGTATCCTTTAGGCACCAGCTAGCGTGCCCTTAAGGCAGCAGCTAGCGTGCCCTTAAGGCAGCAGCTAGCGTGCTCTTAAGGCAGCAGCTAGCGTGCCCTCAAGGCAGCAGCTAGCGTGCTCTTAAGGCAGCAGCTAGCGTGCCTTAAGGCAGCAGCTAGCGTACCCTTAAGGCAGCAGCTAACGTGCCTTAAGGCAGCAGCTAACGTGCCTTAAGGCACCAGCTAGCGTGCCCTTAGGGCAGCAGCTAGCGTGCCCTTAAAGCAGCAGCTGGCGTGCCCTTAATTAAGGCAGCAGCTAGCGTGCCTCTGAAGGGGCAGGCGTAAAGGCTTCAATGCAGAGACGTCTTTATCCTGCACCCGTGAAGAGTAGAGTTAACCTTCGTGTTTTGCATGCGGTTTCCTCAGAGCGGGACGCACCTGGCGGGGAAGGAGGACCTGGGAGCCGCACTCAGGCACATTGAGAGCCTCGCACGGGAGCGCCGCGCCCCTGCCCTGCCCTCTGCACCTCTACCGTGAGTACTCATGAAGGGAAATAATCTTCGGTGGTGAGGTCAATGTTTCGTTTGCCGATTGATCGTCGTTATTAATCGTCGCTAGGTAAATTGTCGGCGTCAGATCTTCTAATTAATTGTACGCTAGAGCACCAACATGCAGAGGAGCCCAGCATGCGTCGTCAGGTGAGAGATACGCGTGCTACGACTGCTACGTGTCTGAACCTTGACACGCGCTTTGGTTTTCCCACGTGTCCATAATCTGCGACACAGCGCATGGTGTGCATTGCTGTGCAGCGCTATGTCTGGTGTGTCATGCACAAGTCGGCAGCGCCTAGCGTGCAGTGGTGTAATTGATGCTGTGATGCGATTATGTAGCACTTGGTTCGGTAGTGCGATTGGTGTAGTGATGAATTTTGTGCAGTTAATCGATTGATGGAGTGGTGTAACCTCAAGTTGCGGCTAATTACGCCAATCTACAAACGGTGAGCAAGAGGCAAACCTCAAAAATACAGGCCGATGACACTGACATCACATATAGTGAAGGTGTTTGAGGTCATTCCCAGGAGGTTGGTACAGCACATGGAGGAAGTTGATCGTTTCAACAGTTCACAACACAGTTTCAGACGAAATCCCTATTACTTTTATTATTTACTGGAGCATCACCGCCGAATTATTGCCAAATTAGACTAGTAGGCTGGCGTGGAAGTGGTGTATTTTAATTTTGTGAAATCTTTTGATTAAGTTAACTTTGATCGATGTGCTCTTCAGAAAACAATTTCTGCTTGGGGGCGAAGGAGAGTTATTGGGGTGGATCCACAATTCCGTAATTGACAGATTAGCATCTGCCATTGTTAAAGGCTAGAGGTCAAAGGAGCCTAATATGAAATATGGAGTAGCACAGGGGACGGTTCTGGGCCCGATACTTTTCCTTATTTCATTGCCGACATAGATGTGGAAGTAAGCCGCACTTCGATACCGTCATTCGCAGTCTGATGGTGCAGTGGTCTGATGGTGTAGTGGTCTGATGGTGCAGTGGTCTGATGGTGCAGTGGTCTGATGGTTCAGTGGTCNTGCTCTTTGCGTTGTGGCAGTAACTGCTCTTTGCGTTGTGGCAGTAACTGCTCCTTGCGTTGTGGCAGTAACTGCTCTTTGTGTTGTGGCAGTAACTGCTCTTTGCGTTGTGGCAGTAACTGCTCCTTGCGTTGTGGCAGTAACTGCTCTTTGCGTTGTGGCAGTAACTGCTCTTTGCGTTCGTTTGGTGTCACTGAGGTCATTGACCTGGGCCCATACTTTCAAAAAAAGTTAAGAGATCGTAAGTCCATCAGCCAATCATTGACGGCCTTTCAAGCCAAATCCACCAATCATAGACAAGAAAATAGAGCGTAAGTACTTACGTTCACTTAGTGAGTTTTGAAAGTATGGCTCCTGACATCTGTGCCATGACTATGACGCCCTCACTGCCTCTTGTCACTCCCCCGACTACCGCACCTTCCTCCCCCGCACTCCCCTTCCTTTACTTCTCATTTACTTCTCACTTCCTTATACCCCGTTTCTTTACTTCCTTCTGTACAACTCACTCACTTCCCACTCTCCTACTTACCACTCTCCTTCTTCCCACTCTCCTACTTACCACTCTCCTTCTTCCCACTCTCCTACTTACCACTCTCCTTCTTCCCACTCTCCTTCTTCCCACTCTCATACTTCTCACTCTCCTGCTTCCCACTCTCCTACTTCCCACTCTCCTACTTCCCACTCTCCTTCTTCCCACTCTCCTTCTTCCCACTCTCATACTTCTCACTCTCCTGCTTCCCACTCTCCTACTTCCCACTCTCCTTCTTCCCACTCTCCTTCTTCCCACTCTCCTTCTTCCCACTCTCATACTTCTCACTCTCCTGCTTCCCACTCTCCTACTTCCCACTCTCCTACTTCCCACTCTCCTTCTTCCCACTCTCCTTCTTCCCACTCTCATACTTCCCACTCTCNCGCAGGTCAGATCTCGCGCAGGCCAGGTCTCGCGCCTGTCTCTTATACACATCTATTGACGGCCTTTCAATCCAAATCCACCAATCATAGACAAGAAAATAGAGCGTAAGTACTTACGTTCACTTAGCGAGTTTTTAAAGTATGGCCTCGGTTTCTTCCTCTCCTACTCCCCACTCCCACCTTGCCCCACTACCCCGCTGACAGCAGCGGTTGGTTTGACCCGCAAGGCTGACGCAGGCAGCGTGGCGCTCAGTCGGGTCAGTGCAGCGTTGACTGTTGTGGTGGGAGGTTGTGCGGCGTTTAGCTGTGTCTTGTGCAGGCATTTGGCCCCTTGTTTACATCCGATTAGTTTTCATTCTATTTGAGTGTGGTTGCTCAGTGTTTTTTGGCCACTATATTCCCCAAGTGATATATGTAGTAGTGTTATTTAAGCGTTGCCTTGCCATTTTGTGAATGGAGGTTGCGTTGAATGAGTGTGTAGCAGCTGTGCGGGCGCGTAGTAAGTACACTCCTTCCTTCAATGAACTGGGCGTGCGGCGGCCACGCTTAAGAATGTGCCCAGTATGGCTCATTACCCAGCCTGAAATGTGCACAGATTTTACTCATTTTAGTTGAGTTTTAGCGAATCTAAGCCGACTATCGTTCATTGTGTAGCTTTAAATATGAAATAATTTGTTTTCTTATACGTTTGTGGTAAATGAATGCCGAGTATCTCTCACTACGCAGCCTGATCTGATTTCCCTTGTTATATTAATGGTTCTGGTGGATCAGAACGAGTGATGACGTTCTTTGTATAAACCTACATATGTCGCTGCTCGTCATTCACGTCGGATTGTGAACAATTTAATCTGAAAATAATATTTTTTATTGAAAACTTCGCAGTTGATCGTAGGTGCGGTGCTGTTGCTATTTCCATTGTGATGATGTGATGGAAAATTCATGAATATCATGTACAAATTAGGCCCTCTGTCTCATCGTCAGTTCTCTTATAGGAGTAGCATTCGAAATTCATGTGAATATTCTGAATTATGTTTCTACCAATTAAAAAATAAATATTTGAAAGATGTTCATTTCAACTTTGCTAATCAGGTATAGGAATAGCATTGTCCACGCGATCTGTGGTGACAAGCACCGAGCTCCTGGATAATGACCTCGTATCGGCGATAAGCGTCACTCCATTAATGGCAATACCGACTCCAATGTCGACGTCTGTTCGTTGTTTTGTTTGTTATCGTGCTGCAATGAATTACTTTGAACCATCATACAACATCTGCCCATACAACATCTGTAAATCAAGCCAACATCTGTCCACACAACATCTGTACATCAAGCCCATGCTAATAAAACCCAAGGCAATGAAGTCCATAGCAATTAAACCCATGGCAATTATTTGTATAAAACCAATTCTGCAAGCAGGGGAAGTACGATGTCCACGACGACGATTGCGCTGACACCTCACGCTGCTGTGGTGACAGCTGACACCGTGCATGTTGATAGTGCGTGTTGTGCGTGGTGGTAATGCGTGTTGTGCGTGGTGGTAATGCGTGTTGTGCATGATGGTAATGCGTGTTGTGCGTGGTGGTAATGCGTGTTATATTAGGGTTAAGGATGAAAATAGTTCTAAGTCACAACCGTCACTGGAGCTCGCACGTTTAACCACGTACGCATAACGCAAGTTGAAAATTGTAAAGACGCTAGAGCTAACTTTTTCAAGTCATATATATTTTTTTTTTTTGCTTCGTTGCCTACTTACAGCTAATATTACTAGGAACAGGAATATTCGTTTGCGTGTTTTCCTGTCCGTTGTTTGAGGAGGGAAGTTGCGCCGGTGTTAAGGTATTAGTAATTGTCGTCTAGGAACTTACATAGACAGGTCGTCCGAAAATAACAAGTCCGTTATTTTCTGTTTAGAAATTCATCTCAGCAGGCTTAGAGCAGGGCAGTTAATGTGAGGGACAGAGGGCGGCAGCCGCTGTTCGCCGAAGGCAAGTTCTTTTTTTTTTTTCTTCTCCCTTCTTTCATGTGAGGGAACATTTTTTTTTGCGGGCGTGGGGAACCACCATTGAGCGGGGGAGAAAAGGGGGAAAGGAAGGTTGAAGGGAAATGACGCGCTCCGTGCATAGAAGGTTATTGTAGGCTATTGTTAAAAGAATTATTGAGGTTGCGGGAAATTAGATAAGACGTAGAAACAGACCGGCGGAAGCAAGAAAAGAATCTGTAACGTTTTAATTTTATAGATGTTTTTTTTTTTTTGCCATAAAATAACAAAGAGAATTCAAATAATTAAGGGAGTCATTGACTAAGGAGCACCAGGGCGGAATCCGGATTTTATCCCGGCGAAGGGAAATATTTTTTTTGAGGGGCACTTGCAGCGAAAGTAATAACCGTACTTGATTTAGAAGACAAATACTAGCCACGCGGAGATTAGAAAAACGAGGGGTAATTTCAATAAATCTGATAAGAAGGAAATTTTCAAGGTATATTCGGTAAGGATAAAATTTCTCCGGGATAAAATTTTTTTTTTTTTGCATATATAATGTCGAAGAAATGTTCAGCGGGACGCGTAGAAATTTATTTTGCTCTCCTAAATTAGAAGCAAGTCCTAGGTGGGACGTTCAAATTCGAACAATCCTGGTTGTTGGAATGAAGCAATTTCAAATGGTCAGATCGAGGCAAGGGCCGAGAACGGTCAGTTTTGCCTTTCTCTTGAGCCTCACTCTATATTTTTTTTTTTTTTCTTTCTTTCGCGGGGCTGGGAAAGACTCTATGGGCAAGCTTGGGGAGAAATAAAAATGGGGGACAGAAAGTCAAAAGTAGAGATTGAAGGGGAACAGTAAGCTGTGCGCGTGGAGAAGATTCTTGGGTTGAAAATTTATCGAAGTGAGGAAGAAGACAATTTATTAAAAATGAACACGTCGGTATCATAAAATGTACTTAGAGGTCCGTGAATAAATCGGGGATTGCGTAGCCGCGCGCCGTAGTTAATGAGTTTCAACTACCGACGAAAAAATTTTAAAGAAATGCTCACAAGAACATATA